GGGGGGGGGTTGGTAAGTGTTTAACGGCACTCGCAACTGCAAAAGGTCATATGAGCGCGCAGGACACACCTAACATTTTCAGTTGGTAGGAAATTTTGAATTTTGCCAGGGTGGCGGCCGAAGCCTACTCTTATCAATAAAGGATCTTTATCGTGTGCAACTTGCACACGGGCCCTACGATGTTTTCCGCCCTTGTCCGAGAAGGCCAGGACCAGGTGTAGATCTTTCCTACAAGAAGATCAAGGGTGTGGCTGAAAGACAACAATAAGAAAGAGCCAAAGAGTAGCAGTAGAAAGGCTGCAGAAAGAGTCAGGAGCCCAGAGGAGGGGGCAAAGGGGGACCAAGACAGACGATAGAACACGGCAACAGAGCAGGACAGGAGGTGAAGGGAGACAATTTTAGAGAGGAAATGTTTCGGTTGGTACCCGGATTTGAACCCGGGACCTTTGAATGAGACCTTAATCTCTAGGCCACGAGAGTTCAACGATATGATTGAGCGCGATTTGAAAAAAAAAACGTCTTCAAAGTTTGCTTCTTTTTTTTTCCCCTGCATGACGGCGTGTTGGCATGGTGGCGGGCCAGACGAACTGATCTCATGGGATCATCTGGCCTGCAAACTGTAGTTTGGTGACCCTTGCTCTTGGTGAAACACCCTTCTCCACAATGCTCAGAAATGTATCAGTATCAGACTAGAACTAAGTCTATCAAAACACAAATGTCAACTAAGTACATGTATCACTTGACAGATTTGCTTCAGTAAAAAAAGAAGCACATTGATACTGAAACGTTCACTTGAAATTAGATCAGAAACATAGACAGAGAGAAGCAACATAGACTTTTTAATGCATGTGACTTTACACCCCCCCCCCCCAAAAAAAAACAAAAAAAAAAAAACAACAACAACAACAACAACAACAAGCAAACAACAAACAAACAAACAAACAAACAAACAAAAATCAACAGCACAGTTTTGATCATTTCGACACTATCTAGGCTGTCACTCAGAGCCAACTCTAGCTGAGAGGGATACAACGTCCCATCAGAAAGACATAGATACTCAGTAAGACTTCTCTTCACTTGGGAATTGAACTCAAATCTTCTGCAAGCGTCAGTGAGTGAAACGTTTACACAGTTCATATCTCCATTATAGCTTGTCCTCTTTTTTCTTCTGTTCGTGTTAAGAAAAATATTCTCGCTTACTCATTAAATCCACCAAAGCATAATTTTGTAGATCTAATTTTGTATGGCCCTTCAGTCGGCCCGAGACAAAACAAAAGTATGTCTTTTGAATCTTGATCCAATGATTAAAAATTATTTTTTTCTATTTGATCCCAATATTAATCCCCACCCCCACCCCCACCCCTTTGGGAGCATACACAGGATCACCACAATAAATGGTGTACAATGACCTGGCCTTCAAATTGCTCGTTTGAGACACCAACCTCTAGATAAAGATGTTGTGTTTCAGTGTGTTTCGTTTAACTTTTTATTTCGTTGAAGCTTTGATATTCTGTTCCTGCAATAGAAAAAAAGCATTAGGCTTAATAATATTACTCCAAGAGTCAAGGGTAAAAAAAAAGGATTTAGGAAAGGAGGGGGGGGGGGGGTAGAGATTGTCGAGAATAATGGCCTTCGATGCACAATCGAGGAAATGCATTGGAACGTCAATCTCTTTTCTGATCACTTATAATTTGAACATTGCGGACAGGATGGTGACCTTCACCAACCGTACATATTTACATTTAGAACCTGTTTGGGTTTGAAATCTTAATAATTTTTTTAAAAATTATAATTATGTAGCTTTTTTTCTCAAAGTGGGCTTGGTAACTTACAAAGTGCCGTGTGTGGGCGGGATGACTATAATTTTGTTCAACACAATGGACAGAATACATAATTGATTAGAAATTTGTCACATTAACTCTTTGAGGACGCGGACTTTTTGAAGGCTCTTTTAAAAAGAAACACAACTTTGCTATTCATACAGATTTTTCATTTCTGTTTTTTTTTAAACCTGAAATTTGAAATAGGCAGGCAATAATATGAAATTTATGGATCATGCAGTTTTGAGGTCTGATTATGCACGAAGGCTCGGAATGTGCTTCAATTTTGCCTTTAGTATGCTGCTGGATGGTCGGAATGTGTTAGCTCAGGTCTTAAAGAACTAAAGCCGCCGAAGAGTGTGGTATACATAAGCTAGAAGTTATGAAGTCTATTAAATTTTACTTAATTTGGACTGTTCACTCGGGGTTTTTGGGGGG